TGGGGTTGGGCTGGATAGCCCTTGGGGTCTCTTCCAAGTCTATGATTCCTCATCTGTTGGACCAAACTGATCATTCGTAGGGTTTACATGTGCCCAAGTACCCTGCATCATCTCATCTCATCTCATCAGCCCCATTCCACCAAACCAAGCCTTGGAGAATTTTATCCAGATGGCGCTGACTTCTGAAATGTCATCAGGTTTTGTACATGCCTTTTCATGCACCTCCCTGACGATGACAGAGAACTAAAAATCTGCCCCGCTATTGCTGTTTTTGCAGGAGAACTGGGTTGTGTGTTCAGCCTTGACCTCAGTACAAGTACAGAATGTCTGCTGCTGTTTAGACAAACTTTGGACAGAGTAGACCAGACCACACCTTCTTGACAAGGAAGCAAGAAAAAGAAGGAAGAAAACACCGCATACTAGCTGAGTTATGATGAGGAAAGCTCACTGGCTGAGAAGTCCAAATGCCTCTCCCTAAACTGCAGATCCCAGGATCCCACAGGAGATGGCCATACAAGTTAAAATAGAATAATAGCGCTATAACAATGCAGTGTGATATTGGCCACATCCGCACTGCAGAGTAATCCAGTCTGACACCATGTTAACTGCCATGACTCAATACTGGGATGTGTGGTTTACTGTGGCACCGAGCGCTCTGACAGAGAAGGCGAAATAGATCACAAAACTATGCATCTCAGGATTCCATAGCATTTTGAGCCATGACAATTAAAGTGGCGTCAAACTGGGTTATTTGTGCAGCGTAGATGCAGTCATTGTCTCCAGTCTCTGGATTCAAAATTTGAGTATCCTTATGTTCAGTAGGTAGACCAGGGTTCAACTCCCAGCCCAGCCATGTAAACTCACTGGGTGAGTCACACTCTCTCAGCCTCAGAGGATGGTCATGGCAAACCCCCTCTGAAGAAACTTGCCAAGAAAAAACCCATGATAGTTTCATCTCTGGATCGCCGTTAAGTCAGAAGCAACCTGAAGGCACACAACAGGACAGTCAAAGTAGCTTTTATAGATGCCGTGCAACAGCTTGCCCAACACAGACTAAAATCCAAACAATTAGTCAATGGTAAATAATAAAAATAAAAATAAATTGTTGCATTGGCAGGCCATGAAAATGGGCACCTGTCTTGTGGGCAGCCACCGCTTTCTAACGCCCACTCCCTCCGAGGCCTCGAGAAAACAATCCATATGTACAACCAGGGTTTGGGCATGTGCGAATTCACCATTATTTTTATTCTCTTAAAGAGGGAGGCAATGAAGAGGCCAAACCGGCCACCTCAAAATGTGCCGGTCACCTGGCAACCTGAGTCTTTGCCAAACCTATATTGCAATGGCAATTGGTGCTTTCTGTGTTAGTGAGTGTAGTGGATTGCTCTGGGTTTCAGCCCAAACTTTAAAGACCTTCCCAAAACAGAACCAGTACCTTGGTTATCTCTTTTAAAGTTCATACTACACACCGGAGGAGATTCACCATCCCACAAAGAGGTGCAACATAACCTAATGGTTGCATCCTCCAGGTTGTATCTTGCAAGGGGGTTGCAGAATAAGGGGACCAGACCCATGTATGTACCAGAGCCCAGAAAGTTACAGTTTACCCATTATTTTATTTCTGCTGCACATTACAGTATCCAGAAAGCAATTCATTGTTGTCTGTCATCATTGCATCAACCAGAAAGTACGTTGCTGCATCAGTGGTTGCTTTCCATCATCATCACCTTTTTGGGGTGAAGAAGAATTTTAGGTTTGGTAAATGAATGGTCTGAAACTAGAAGAATTTCCTCCAGAACAGCCTTACAAATGTCCTCGAAAAGGAATTAGATAACGGCAAGAATCTTGTTGGTGAATTGTTGTGTGGTTTCACATCGTGTCCAACTTATGGAACTCATGGCAGTGAAGGCGAAACATCTCACCAAACTACAAATCCTAAAATTCCACAGCATGGAGCCCTGGCAGTTAAAGCGATGTCAAGCTGCATTAATTCTCCAGTGCAGATTAGACCTTGGTTATTTGTAATTCACTCCTTCCAAGCTCCGCATGGTCCTATGGGCATGCCCACACACAACACTGACTTCACCATTTCTCTGCAAGTCTGCAGTTTCTTAGCAACCGGCACCAGATTAGAACTTGCCAGTTTGCAAAGTTTGCACAGCCCTGTTGGCTGCTCTCGAGTGATAAGAAAAAGATCTGGCCAGACAGGCTCTTTCTTTCACAGCTGCCCCTGGGAAGCCAGCGAGTTGGGGTTGAAAAACTACCCTTTTGTTGTGGCTTCCAGAAACCGGCATTCTCTAAAGCAGGTTGCTTTGGCACATGGGATGGTTTGGCAAGCCAAGAACCATGGCAGTTTAATTCACTGTCTTTTATTATTACATCCAGCTTAAAGCCGTATAAATTACAGAGGCCCGTCGCTGCATCTTGTGGCAATGGGTTCCACAAGACAAGTTAGGCATTAGATAGCTGAATACACCACCACAGGATAAATTAAGATATTTGTGGGCGTTTGAACTTCTTTTGTTGTTGCTGCTGTTGCATGCTTTCAAGTCGTTTCTGACTTATGGCAATCCTAAGGTGACCGTATCCTGGGGTTTTCTTGGCAAGGTTTGTTCAGAGGAGGTTTGCCATTGCCATCCCCTGAGGCTGAGAGCATGTGACCTTTGCCAAAGGATACCCAGTGGGTTTACATGGCTGAGCTGGGAATTGAACCCTGGTCTGTCAAACATAAGGATACTCAAATCTGGCACTTAACCCACCTTGAATTTCTGATTGTCAAAACAAAAACAACCTTCTTGTAACTGGGAAGTTGGAGGGCAGAAAAGAAATTTTTCAAAAGCTGGTGCTGAAAAGACCGCTGAGGTGCCAGGTAACTCTTTGTCCAGGGAAAGATTTCCCTAGCCAGGAACCACCACCAAAAAGCCCTTGGTCCTATAGAGAGACACACCTCATGTCAGTAGGAGCATCTAAAAAAGAAAGGCTCCTTCTCTAACCTTCTTCCAGTGTCCTGGTATGTACAGTCAGCTCTCTGCATCCATTGATTTAACCATCGACAGCTTGCAAATATTTCCAAAAATATAAATTCCAAAAAGCATACCTTGACTTTGCCATTTTATATAAGGGACACCATTCTGCTATCCAATTGTATTTAAGGGGACTTGAGCATCCTTGAATTTTGGTATCCATGGAACCAAACCCCAGCGGATACCAAGGGCCCACTGTATTTCTGCAAATCTTGGGGAGTCCTTTGCATTTGCACATCCCACCTTTCCCATGCATCAGTGGTGTCAATTTTAGCAACATAAGCATTGACATATGGACCTGGCCAGGAGAAATGCAGCAGTAGCTGGTGGATTCCACATTGGCTGGGTGCAAAATCCATTTTATATAAGGGACACCATCCTATTATGCCATTGTATGTAATGGGACTTGAGCATCCATGGATTTTGGTGTCCACAAAAAGTCCTGGAACCAAAAGGCCAGCGGATACCAAAGGGCCACTGCATATGCAAGAAGCAGCAAACCTTGAGATAACCTCATCCCAAGCCATTTATGACCATATTGGTTGAAATAAACCCTTTTAATGGGGCTTGGAAACAGACTGGATGCTGACGCAGACAAAGCACTGCTGTAACATAACTCCCCTAAACACACCATCTGAACCGCAGGATTTAAAAGAAAGAAAGAAAAAACTATGAGCTCACCCACCATCGAGCTGTCATCATCTTTCTTATTTATATAAAAGGCTGGCTTGAGCCAAGCCTTCTCATCACAATACTTGCCATCACGTGTCACCAACCAGCCCAAACAGACTGTCAAAGGCAGCTTGGCTTATGAGAACAAGCATTTTTTCCTCCCCCTTCTTTTCATTTCCTTCTGTGTGGGTTTTCCCCACCGATTAACCCATGTGGATGTCAAAATTCAGGTCCCACTTGGTTTGAGTGTTCGACCGTGACTCTGGAGACCAGGGTTCAATTCCTCACTCGGCCATGAAACCCACTGGGTGACCTTGGGCAAGTCACACTCTCTCAGCCTCAAGGGAAGGCGATGGCAAAACTCCTCTGAACAAACCTTGCCAAGAAAACCCCATAAAACATGCAGGGGTAGCTGTGTTGGCCATTTAGCAATTTCAAACAAAAATCCGCCAATCAGTGATACGTTATTGGACAACCAAAATGCACAAGATACTTGTTGCAAGCTTTCGAAGCTCTACTTCGAAAACCCCATGAGTCAGAAATGACTTGAAGGCACACAACAACAAAAAGCTTTTTGCTTGTGTTCTCCATAGGGACATATGCTTTCCAAGAGGGTGGCAGGGATGATATCCAAACTGCACAGCTCCGTACAATGGAATATATAGTCTTTGGGAAGAGGGTACTTAGAATTCTCTCATGCTACATCACTCGATAGAAAGCCAGTATGGTAGAGTGGTCTGAGCATTATTATTTGCTGCTCCAGAGACCAGGATCCACAGAGCAATGGATGCAAACTACAGGAAAAGAGATTCCACTTAGATATTAGGAAGGTCTTTCTAATGGTAAGAGATGTTTGACAGTGGAAGATGCTTCCTTGGCGTGTGGTGGAGTCTCCTTCTTTAGAAGTTTTGAAACAGAGGATGGATGGCCATTTTTGGAGGGACTTTGATGGTGTCTTCCTGCATGGCAGAATGGGGTTGGACTGGATGACCTTTGGGGGGTATCTTGCAACTCAATGATTCTGTGATTCTAGACAACAGGGTTTGAAACCCCACTTGGCTATGGAAACCATGCCCATGTTGGTTGTTTCTTTTAAAACCCTACATGGTTTGGGTCCCAAATACCAATGGGATCTCAAACCACACCACCACAGTAGCTGACCAGATTGTTCTTGTGCCTTCAAGTCATTTCCGATTTATAGCAATCCTAAGGCGATGGAGTTTTCTTGGCAGGTTTTTTCAGAAGGGGTTCACCATTGCTATCCTCTGAGGCTGAGAAAGTATGACTTGCCCAAGTGGGTTTTCATGGCCATGCCAGGATTCGAACCCTGGTCTCCAGAGTCATAGTCAAAGGCTCAAACCACTATGCCACGCTGGCTCACTGGCTGACCAGATACCACCAATAAATTTTCATGTGCAGTAATGAAGAATCCAAGACTCATAGTGTCAAAGTACCTGGAATTATTTTTGACTAATAGTGAAGTTGATGCCTACCTACCACCCCCCAGCACAGATCCAACTAAATTTCCAACTAAAACCCAAAGCAGATCCTTGTTGATCAGGATCACCAGCGTCTACAGATTCTCCCCAAAACTTGGCACAATTTTGCACAAGCATGTGTTGTTGCTTCCCATCGACTGGGGCTGTGCAGTGGAGATGCCAAAAATCCCAATTTCCGTCACAACGACAAATGAAAGCCAAATCCACTGGAGAGGGTGGCTCATCGCAGACAAGATCTGCTGAGACAGGACCAACTTTTGTCCTCTTTCCCTCTTTGGAGAGAAAGGATCAGAACTCACCCAAAGGTGGATTATCTTCCAAAATCAAAACCCAGCTCAGCAGGAGACATCACGGCTCCAAAAGATTTACCACTTTTTTGGGAACTAGCAATGTAAAACTGATTAACCTGATGCTAGAAGTTACAGATCGACTAGATTTTAGTTGGGGGTGAGATGAAAGCATTGCCCCCTTCCCAAATAAGAAATCTGCCCCCGAATGAGATTTTCCTGCAGTTCCCCAAATTTTTAGCCTTACAAAGTGAGACACTGAAAATTGTTCACCCTTGTTGTTGTTGTTGTTACTGGGTGCCTTCAAATTGTTTCCGACTTGTGTTAACCCTAAGACAAACCTATCATAGGGTAGCTTGGGTAAGTCACACTCTCTCAGCCTCAAAAGAAGTCTTTGGGGTGGGGTTACTCTTATATCTATGTACTATCCTCTCTTGGACTAGGACTCTGGAGGATATTATTCAGATTGCCGCTCAGCTGTGGAAACCCACTGGGTGACCTTTGGCAAGTCATACTCTCTCAGCCTCAGAAGAAGTCTTTTAGGTGGAGGTATTCTTATATCTATGTATTTTTCTCTCTTGGACTAAGACTCTGGAGGGCAGTGTTTGAATTGCCGCTCGGCCATGGAAACCCACTGGGTGACCTTTGGCAAGTCATACTCTCTCAGCCTCAAGAAGTCTTTGGGGTGTGGTTACTCTTATATCTATGTACTTTTCTCTCTTAGACTAGGACTAGTGTTCAAATTGCCGCTCGGCCATGAAAACCCACTGGGTAACCTTGGGCAAGTCACACTCTCTCAGCCTCAGAAGAAGTCTTGAAAGTGGGTACACTCCCTCAGCCTCAGAAGAAGTCTTTTGGGAGGTACTCTTATATCTATGTACTTTTCTCTCTTGGACTAGGACTCTGGAGGACAGTATTTGAATTGTCACCTGGCCACATGTCACACTATCTCAGCCTCAGGGAGAGGCAAAAGCAAACTCCCCTCTGACCAGATCTTGCCAAGAAAACCCACAAAAAGTTCTCCTTAGGGTTTCCACAAGTCAGCAACGATTGGAAGGCACACAAGAACAACAACAAACTTAATCTGATTTGAGGAACCACAGGTTTGGCTGAGTTACTCTTCAGCCATGGACTCTGGAAGGCTGACTCGCTGCAAATGCATGTTCTATCATCCACTGACTATTGCATGTTTCAGTGACTATTGCATATTTCAATTACTCAGCACCAATGCCTTCCCACTGTGCAAACTTCTACTGAATTAATGCCTGCCAAGATGTTTTGCAAATCCGGTCACTGCATGACGAAGAACCATATGACGTACACACCGTCATCCCAAAATGGCTGCAAACATTAAGATGCATGTGGTATAGCCCTCCCAGGAATATAATACTTGAGAATATATGTGGGGATTGCTTGTTTGAAACTTCACCCTAATATTACAGTCTCTGATATTGTCTGCAAAGAGATTTCATACTGCATCCAGATACGTAGCATTCAATGGCTGCAGAAATAATTCAGTTTGACACCGCTTTAACTACCGTGGCTCAGTGCTATGGAAATCTGGGAATTGCAGTTTTCTGTGGCACTAGAGCTCCCGGACAGAGAAGGCTAAGGGTCTCACAAAACTATAATCCCCAGAATTCAATAGCATCGTGCCATGGCAGTTAAACAGGTATCAAACCGGATTATTCCTGCAGTGCGGACGCAGCCAGCAAGGGATATACCACATCCTTCTTTCTCTCCATGTAAAAATGACTATTCTTTTGCTTTTTTTCACTATTTATTTGTTATGGAACACACAAACAGCCGCCACAATATAGTTCAAAACTTCCATGACATAACACAAAACATAATGAAAAGAACACAGTAATCGTAACGACAAATATAATCAACAATGTTACACATCCCAAAAGAAAACCAGCAACAACATTGTTTCTAAAAGCAATGGTAACATTTAATGACTTCCTATCTTCTAGTCTTCAGCAATTAAATCTAAAAATGAACGTATTACTTTTACCGACAAAAAGTGTGAAAATACTTTCCTCTAAAGCATCTGAGTTTGCTTATCTCTATATCTATTAATGCCAGACATATAAATTAAAAGAAACAAGCTATTACATATTAATGTAGTCTAAATACATACTCTATTATCCTACTGCCCAATGATTTCTCATTTCCTCTCTTAGAAGACTATTCCAGGGCTGCATCTACACTGCAGAAATACTCCAGTTTGGCACCACTTTAACTGCCATGGTACCGTGCGATGGAATTCTGGGATTTGTAGTTTTGTGAGATATTCAGCCCGAACAAACTACAAATCCAAGGACTTCACAGGATGGAGCCGTGGCAATCAAAGCAGCGTCAAACTGCATTATTTCTGCAGTGCAAATGCAGCCTTAGAACTACTGTAAAAGAATTAAGCATTTCAGTTTCCGACACATAAAAGAGAGGGAAATGTGCCACATTTTGCAGGGATTGCTGCAAGAAGGAATGTAATGAAGTCTCCTGGGTTTTTAAAAAACATGCAATAACGCAACTGGCAACGAAGTCAAAGGAGAATCCTTCAACTCACATTTCAAGTTTGAATATTTGTGAATTGTCAAGGCGTTTCAGTCTATTTTCTCCTATGGAATGTGGATTTTCGGGGATTTCTTCACTGTGTTTCTATCTTAACCTTGAGCCAAGGATTCAAAATAGCAATGCACGGTGTCCTCTCATTTGCAACTTAAGGCTGTTTCAAATGGTGCAGGTATGGAGTGGGGGGGAAAAAACCCTTAAACTAGAAGACTGTAACTCCCAACATTCTTCACCATTGGTTATACTGGCTAGGGCTGATGGGAGTCACAGTCCAAAAATACTGGCTGAGCTACATATCTCTCATGTCTCCATTAGCCCAAAAAGGGAGAAATCTTTAAGTCACTCTCGTTGGCCCAGCTCTTCAATTGGAATGGGAATTATGTGCTGGATTGCAAGTCCCAGCAGCCTTAGCCAACACAGCTAACAGTTTGGAATGCTGGGGGTTGCAGTCCAACTCCATCTGAAACAAGCCTGCAAGATTCTCATCCATTTTGCATGCTAGTAACTACACCACACCAGCTCTCCAAGGATGAACAAAAATGCCCATGGTGTGCCAATGTTTTTGGCGGGTGGAGCAGGGGGATGCCCTCTTCCAATTCCCTATTGGTAGCAAGAACAAGGTGTCAATTATTTATTTGTAAAAATGTACAACCTCCACCTGGTTGCTTGCCAGCTTTCCCTTTGGAAAGCCACAAACTTTAGATGAGGATGTTTCGAAAACCAAGCCAACTCGGCCCATGCACCGTTGCTGTTTTATCATCATTTCCAAAGCATCCCTGTCTATAACCAGCACCATCAAGGGAAGCCTTGTCTCAGTAGACAAGATGCCACATTACCCTATTGTGGGGCTTTCTTGGCAAGATTGGCTCAGAGGAGGTTTGCCCTTGCCTTCTGAGAGAATGTGACTTGCCCAAGATCACCCAAGAGGTTTCAGGGCTGAGATGGGAATTGAACCCTGGTCTCCAGAGTCATAGTGCAGAATGCAACTGGACTAGCTCTCCATAAATAAATTAGTTTTAGGGAGAAAAATATTGTTTTGGAGAGAAAATATTGCCCTGGATAAGGCAGACCTTGGAACAATCAGTAGGCTACAAGGAGGAGCTTTACCATGATTATCTGCATTTCACAATGGAAATGAAAGACTGCCAAGCCAAAACCTATACCTGCGGCGACTGACCGTGATCTGTAAAGATAGCTATTCATTAAGCCCAGAGGGAACAGGGGAGAGTGACCATCACGCTGACCGAAATAATTCAATAAAAGTCACAACCACCGCAGCCAAAAAAAAGCTCCAGGACCTCCCTGGAGAATTGGTTGCCCAAGCAGGAATATTATCAGCTCTGATCCAAGAGAGAGAGGGGAGGAAAAACAACAACGTCATATTGATTTGGAAGATACCCATGCTCAGCTGCCAAAAGCCACCACCAACCTCTAGAGCCCTGTTTTTGCAGTCCAACCCTACCTCCACCCACCTCATTGCCTCCGAAGGAAAAGCCAAGCTGTTCCAGGAGCGGTTGAGTCAACAAAATCCCTTCCCAGCTTCCAATGCCTCTGTTTTCACCCAAGGAGAGCCTTGTCTAGGAAAAAAGGTGGAGAAGGAGGGTGGAATCTCCGTTCCGTTTGCTGTCTGGGGCTCAAAGGACCATTATCCATGCTGAACATGCAGAGCCAACTGGACTCCGAATGAGTTTTTAAAATCATCATCATCACTATCATCATCATTGTTTACATCCTACATTTCCCCCTAAAACTGGGGTTCTAGGCAGCTTCCAAATTAACACAAGCACAATACAATGGGCGCTCCACATTCGTTGGGATTAGAGGCACAGGTGTCGTTGCTGTGTGCCTTCAAGTCGTTTCCGACTTATGGCGACCCTAAGGTCCTACGTTTTCTTGGGGGTTTCTTGGCAAGATTTGCTCAGAAGAGGTTTGCCCTTGCCTTCCCTTGAGTTGAGAGAGCATGACTTGCCCAAGATCACCCAGTTGGTTTTTACATGGCCAAATGAGGAATCGA